GTTACTCGTCAGATTTACGCCTTCACGAGCATGAAACTCTAACAGGCTCTTGAACTTCGACTCGCAATCCGATGCGGTTGGTAATAGGGGTCTTCCCTTTATTATTGTTATTGGGGGTATTAGTACGACCCCCAGCCTAAATTATTGTCTGGGGAACTTTCAACGGCCTCAATCGCTCCTTCACAGGTGCTTTACCTCGATCTTCGGGGAGAGGACCAAAGCGGTCTTTCAGAGAAACTCTGAATTTGGTGAGATCCATGCTACCATATGGCTCTGTCAGAGGTACGGGGGGAGAGGAAACGAGATCTGAAGTTAACGAAGGCCGAAATGTAACTTCGTCCACTTTTGCCTTAGGCGTTGACTTTGCCTTCGGCACCCACACCCGTTTGTGCTTGGGCGATTTTTTAACCGCCTCTTCCTTCTGCATTTCTTTTGCTTTTTGCAAGAGGACTCGGGCATGCGCGAGTAATGCACGGTGCTTCTGGATTCGCTCCTCAAGGGTAGAGCGGGTCCTTTTGACGCGGACCCATTCATTCTTCTCTGCTTTGGAGGAGGGGTTGTTTGCTCGCCATTGTTATTCTCGGCGCTGCCTAGATTTTAGATCCACATCATAGAGGATCCCGTCCATTGGCTCCAAAGCCTTAACCAGTTGACGTGCAAGGCGTTGGTGTCGTCTTTGGCATGCTCTCTTTGACAAAGTTGGTACGTCTTCACCAGCTAAGCTTTTGCTGGAGGGGAGGCCTAGATCTACAGCTTGGACCTCGTTGGACGCTGGAGGGGCGTCACGAGGTGTAAGTGCGGTGGCGGCGAGAGGATCTTAGATCTTTGAGCCTAAAGTCCAGTGAGCGTTCCTGGAAGAGGAGGCCTACATGAGCCTGTGGGGAGAGGCGGATCTGGAAGAGGAGGAAGAGAGATACTCTTCAAACTTTTGCTGGTCGAATTTGTATTCGACCTCTTCATTCACCGGGATCTTGATCGCCGGTTGCGTCACGATAGCCTCTGTAGAGAGGCTGTTGGCTCCCACTGTGATCGCTAGCTTGTTTGGGGAGAAAGTCGATTTGTTAATTGTTGTGTTCATTACAACTTCAAATGTTACAATGTAAACAAAAAGATTAGTCTTTTTATAAGACCTTTACACAATGAAAAAAAAAATACAACTCTCGTCAAACAGCGCAACAGACGTTTATCCTTCGCTGCTTAAGTAGGATCTTGGCCTGTGACGGGGATGTTGATATCTGTGTACCACCAAACGATCAGATCAGATCCGGAGCTTCGTTGATTCGCGAAGGAATTAAGAAACCGAAGCAATTATCTCAGCTACAGCGAGATAATCACTCTTCTCGAGATCACCGTAAAGGGGCAATCTCAAGGAAAAGAATCGGGCTGTAGATATGACGAACTCCTCTTCTTTATGCCGAAGAATTTGTTGATATCTCCTCTTCCTCTCTAAAATTCGTGGCTCTTCAGTCCTCAGTTTGGCAGGGCTTCGCCAACGCTCGAGAATTCCAGATCTAAAAAATGAAGGCCATGGGGCTGTATTTATAGGCTTCGGGACCTTTGTTTTTGGATAAGAATGACCAATTCCCTCTTATCCTTAGTTTTAACCACTTAACCACGTTCATGAATGATATTTTATCAGTTGGAACAAATCTAGACGGTTAACGGTCGAAAAACCGCCAAAAACAGCCAAAATCAGCTTTTTCGGGTTACAGACACTTGTGAGTGGCTCGGCGTGGGCCAAGCTGAGACACTCATGGGTGTCTTGGCTTGGCCGAGACACCATGTGGTGTCTCGGTTTGGCTCAGGGCTTGGTCTCGCGCGCTTTGTCTGTTGTCGCCGTATTTTTATCATCCGAACTCGGAATCATGCGATCCAGAATGTGTCAGAAAGCCGATGAGGAGATCTTTAAGATCTCACAATTGAATCATGTGTGGAGTAAACGAGACATGAGGGGCGCTTCGTCTTTCCTAAGCGACGTGCAGCTCCCGGTTCATTCGTGTTTCAGTTATTCCGAAATTCCGTTGCTTCGCATGGTCCGTCGACTCACTTCATGTATTTGTCATTGCCAAATGAGCTTCTGTGACTCGAATAGCGATGTTCATCATCTCCTCTCCATCTCGAGCCGCGTGCGGGGACCTATAGGTAATTTTTGACGCCTACAATTACCACCTACCCCACTCCTCTTAGGACCCGTCTCTCACCACGCACTCCTCTCGGTGTACAAGTGTATTATAAAGTGATCTACACAATTAAGCATGAATACAAAGATTTGTTCTCTAATACAAGATGAGAACTAAGTGTAAGCTCACTCTTTAAGTCACATAATTTCACAATCCCAAATATACTATGTATGCAAATACAATAAGCTCCATGGTTGTGTGTAAACAAAGAAAAAATCAAATATAAACTCAATGTAAATACTAGATTAAAAAAGATGATAAATAAAAATAATTAATGTAAAGCTAGTATTGAGTTTAAAAATTCTTCTCTGAAAAACAAGATGGAGAGATGGAAATTGAAACTCAAACAATGAAGATGATCTCCTCCACTTGTGAAAACTTATTCACAAACCAAACAAATACTAAAAACAAACTTAAACTCTTGTTAAACTTTTGTAAACTTGTATAAACAATTTTCTTAGGGTGGTTGGAGAGATAAATACAATGGGGTATTTATAACCTCACAACATACCAGCCCAAGCGAAAGAAAATGACCAAAAATCCAACCAAAAACAAAATTGAAAACTAGCCGTTACTATGCAACGACTATATTGGCGATCGACCGCAGAGACCAGTCCAGTCGACCGTGAGCAACTAAGAAAACAGACTGAGTCTCTAGACTTTTTGTGGTCGACCGCAATGACACACGCGGTCGACCGTGAACTGATATTTCTGATACTCAGGCTGAAAACTAAAAATCTAATTTTTAAACTCGATTTAAAAAATAGCAAATAAATTCAGAAAAATATAAAACTTTGGAGAATGCTTGTAAACATGAAAATGAACATATTACGAAAACTGGTTTTTTTAAAAAGCACTTCCCATTTGAGAAATCTCATCATTTTTCAAAATAGTCCAAAACATGAAAATGAACATACTCGAAATTTGATGTTTTGACTAAACCATGTTTTGAAACTTTATAAAATGATTATATAGACTTAATAAAAGATATATATAATGATTGTTAAGTCCATACACAAATAACTCAACATTTTCACAAATTTATGTTTATATAAACTTGAAAACCAAAAACTAAAATGTGTATATATATAACTATATATAAGAAACCAAAACTTGTATGTGTGTATGTGATTGAGCTTAAAGTATTGAACACACATAATATAAAACCTAAAACTAAATTACCCAAGCTTGACGAAGATCTTCAATGAGCTTGACTTGGTAAACTTGCGGATGAAGCTTGAACTTGAATCTTTAACTTGAATTACATTTCTTCACTCCACTATTCCGCCAACCTCCATTGGATATGATAATTGAAGCTTAATTCCATCCATCCTCCAACTATGGATATTTGTGTAGATTATCTAACAAAACAAATATAAAAACTCGACACACGTTGTTAGGAATTGTTTGTAATCATCAAAACAAGATTAGGGAGTAGGCTCATAAACATGAGGCAAACACATATAAGTTAACCCCGTACATGAAATTTATTTTAAGCAACAACCACATGTAAGTATCACAATTGGCATTGAGATGTAAGATACGTGTGAGATTCTCTTTGACTTTTATACAAACAATATCTATTTAAATAATAATAGTATAATTAAAATTTTTGATCTCAAAAAAAATCAAACATACAATATAATTAATTACTTTATAATATTCTAATATAATATAATAAGAAGAAAATAGATGAAAGCATAATTTTTTAACAATCTAATCTAATCTGCTAAGTAGAAAATAACAAATGCACATACCTGTTGAAGGAGATGAAAGTGTTGTGAAAAATTAGCATAATTTCTTGATCTGAAAAAAATCAAACATACAATATAATTAATTATTTTAAAATAATCTAATCTAATTTAATAAGAAGAAAATAGATGAAAGTACTGTGAAAATTGTTACTATTTCTTGATATGAAAAAAGATTAAATATAAAATATAATTAATTGCTTTAAAATAATTTATTCTAATGTAATAAGAAGAAAATAACAAAGGCACATACATGTAGAAGGAGATGAAAGTGTTATAAAAATTGTTATAATTTCTTAGCTTATATATATTAGTATGTGATGTTGTTTGAGAGAGGATACCAATTGTAAATATAGTTCAATTTAAATAATAATAGTATAATTAAACTTTAAATTTTAGTCGGTGAGAGATCGCCACGTTGTTTCCTCAGATCACAGTCGTTTATTTTAATTTTTCTTTTTTTTATAATTTTGAGAACAATTTTGTCTCTTTAATTAGTTTGGTTGATTTAAAGATACTCTGTCCAGATTACGTACATTTGTAGGTTTGTACTGCTCCTGGGTTCGACGTTTGGGGTAGACATTATTTTGTCTCGTTAATTTGTTGATTTATGCATATACGCCCTTTATCTTATATACATTTATAAATTTGGTATTTAATAATTTCATTCAGGTTTACATTTTAATTTAAGCTATATCATTATCTTCATACTATGCACATCCAATAAGAATTTATCAATTTATCAACTTACCCTTAGTTAATGAATTAGTTTTAAAATTTAAGGGTATTTTTGTTTACCAGAAGATTTTCCCAAACTCGTGCTTCTAAAAGGGAGTATGGAATTTGACGAAAGTGAGATAAATTTCTACAAGTACCCCAATTCTATTTTTTACATAGTTCTTATTAACTAACATTGTATAATTTTATCCTAGTTCTATTTTCAATGAATTTACGCTATAAAAAATTATCCCATAAATTGTTCCATGTTTTAATTTTCTAAGTTCCACTTGACCCACTTAGCATGTGAAAGTTCGACTTGAACCGCGTTCTCATTCTTGCCGAGCCGCCCTTGCCTTCGGAAACTTCGTTTGCCGATTTCCAAAGTATGCGAGTTGACCAGTCATAGTACGAATCTCGAACAAAAGAAGGAAAGACCCAATTGCGTCTAGTCTCGGCCCTCGGTTTTCTCATTTCCGCTCTCCCACTCGCCGAGAGCCTTTCGAAAGTCTCTTCCTTTTGAGATCACCCGAAGCGAGCTCGTCGATCCGATCATGGCGTCTAAAGAGTACTTGGGCAAGATGGAGCTCCGGCAGAGCTACCGAAATTTGTGGCACACCGATCTCATGAGCACCATCCAGGCCGATTTCCCTTGTAAGAAACCCTAACCCTAGCTCATTTTTCTTCATTTAGATCTGTTCGATCTCTGACCTGATTGTGATGTCGTTGTTCCTCGATCCGCAGACTGCTGCCTGGCGCTTTGGTGGTGAGTTTCCAGATTCTTTTCTCCTTTTGTTTGATTTGACTCGAAATTGGTAGATCTGATGCTTTGTGTTCTGGCTTGATCCTAAGCCTATAGATATAATGCATGTAATTTTTTTGGGGGGAAATTGACCGATTATTATAAATTTGTTCTAAAAGCGGACTGCTATTGTTGCTTTGTTTACTTGAGAATGTTGTTAACCATAGAATTGACGTTGATATGTCTTTACTCCTGTTTTTGTCATTGAACATATAAGAAAAGAAGTGCAAGTGGACGTGATGCTGGTAACAAATGCTTCTATTTCAAATTTCATGTTTGGTTTATTTAGCTGGTTACTCTATAGGGGTGCAAAAACATATCCGTATCCATGGATATATCTATAACCATGTCTATTAGGATACGTATGTTGGTCAGTCAAATCTATAGTCAATGGGTTATGGTTTTGTAGTGAAATATCCAGATCCATATATGAAATATCCGAATATATGTTGATCTAGCTACTTTTGTTTCAATCCTTAGATTAATGAGTTTGAGACTAATTTTGATGATGAAGAGTTGCAATCTTTGCGTTTCAGATTTAAAAAACATATTAATGGACTTATGAACTCTTTTGTATCATATTAAC